CGGCTGAATGGATTCGAAAACGGTAAAACTCAACTGTTTAACTCTAGGCGAGTTGGAAAATTAGTTATTATTTTCAAAAATAGTGGAGTGTTCCTTTAAATCCTGTATAATAGTGTTTTTTATTTTAGTCATTTTTGTAAATGATAGTATAAGTTAGAAATATCAGAAAAAGATGATAATATTGGAGGTGTTACGTACATGTGCTAAACAGCTGTGTGAAATTCATTACATTTTCTCCCAGTCTCTTATGTTACAAAGAGTTCCTGAAATTTGGAAAAAATATATTATAGTTCCTGTAGCTAAGACTAGGTCCCCACAGCAGCTAAATGATTTCAGGCCGGTAGCTCTTACTTCATTAGTTATGAAGTGTTTTGAGAAAGTAGTTAAAGGTGAAATTTTACAGCAGTCAAAAGATAGACTTGATCCATTGCAGTTTGCATTTAGACAGGGCAGGGGAGTCGAGGATGCTAACCTTACCTTGCCGAATTATCTGTTCAGACACTTGGAAAGGACAAAGACCCGTGCTAGATTGTTATTTATTGATTTCTCTTCTGCTTTTAACACAATAAAGCCACATTTGTTGGTAGAGAAATTAATTTCTCTTTTTAACTTGGATCTTAATATTTCTGGATGGATTTTGGACTTTTTAGTAGAACGTCTTCAATGTGTTAGAGTTAATGGTGCTCATTCTGATTTTCAATATTGCTCTACTGGGTCTCCTCAAGGCTGTTGTCTTTCACCCCTTTTGTTTATTATGCATACAAATGATTGCCGGAGCATGTATGAGAATAGTTATATCATAAAATATGCAGATGATTCAGTGATTGTGAGTCTTCTCCACAATCAGGATCTGGGGCATGGTCCTGTCGTGGAGGACTTCGTTTCATGGTGTGACCGATTTTCTCTTCAGTTGAATGTTAATAAAACGAAGGACACGGTGATTGATTACAGGAGGTCTCCTCCGAGTCCCTGGATGACAACAATCAAAGGTTTGGACATTGAAATTGTCGATACACATAAATATTTGGGGTTGGTTATAGACAATAAGTTGACTTTTTAATTCAATGCTTTGGCTGTCTGTAAAAAGGTTCAACAAAGATTTATTATCGGTGTTAATCAAACTGGGCCTGCTGAAATTTTTCAAAATTCTGTTTTTAAGAAAGCCCAGGTTATTCTTTGTACTACTGACCATCCACTACATACGGAGTTTCAGGTGCTACCATCAGGCCATCGTTTTAGAGTCCCTGTATGCAGGTCGAAAAGAACTAAAGAGTCATTTGTTACTGTGGCCATTAAGTTATTGAACAAGTCTGGTGGGGAGGAGAATGTATTTGGTATTCAAAATGTATGAATTTGAACAGTGTTTGATAAATTTTAATGTATGTTTTGGGAATATGTATGTTACATTGTGTTTTTATAGGTGAAATGGTGATGTGTGCATGGATTGCGGTTAGTGTACTGGCACTTCGCTGCAATCCTAGTTTCCCTAAACGGGACAATAAAGTTGAGTCTGAGTCTGAGTCTGAGAAAGGATGAAGAAAGTAAGGCAAGTTCACATAAAACTACATTAGCACAGAGCACTATAGAATAATGATAGCATCGCTTCAGTGGTCACGGTTTAGCATTACCAATTCTTTGAAAATAACTTCTAAAGCAAAAATTCTTTTTAAACAGACCAACAAAAAAAAAAAAACAACAAAACTGTATGTGCTCCGCTTCCATCAAGTTTAATCAGATATTTATATGGCCACTTAGCAAATTTAAGAGGCATTGGACTCAAATAAAAACACATGAAAAAATGTGCTATTTAAATGATAGGACTGATTCAATTAATAGAAGTTAAAACAGCTGAATCCTAAGGCTTTCTATTCATGATAGTATTTTTTCTACTCTGCATGGAAAATTATAGTATTATCTATACAGAGCAGCAAGAGAGAAACACAAAAACCTTGAAAAACTTTGAAAACAGGCAAAACCCTGAAGAGCCTTTTGAATTAAATCAGAAAGTATCTCAGCAAGAGTGCAGTTCTGCGAGTTTTTCCTTGTTATAAATTTTGTCATCTTTCATACAACGGGAACTGAGTTCAGCTCTCTTGCTGTGAATGACTTTGCACATATAAGCTCAAATACTGAATGATGCCCAAAACACATCCTAGTTTCTTTAAGCTTCTTTCCCTGGGTCCACTGATCCACTATATCAGCAGTAAACGAAAGAATCCATTTCCAGAACAGAAATGCTAATACTTACATTTAAATCTCCTTCTCTTATAGATTTCAAGACAAGGTGCATGTACACATCATCTAGCAATGGTTACAACAATCTAAAAGGATAGAAAGAATATGGCACCTCAGTCAAGTAAATGGAGATTTGCCAGGGTGAATAATGGTGCTTCTAAAGAGTCACAGTGTAGCCAACTGAATCCTATATCAAATGCTGCCAAGGTATCAGAGCAAAATCATCTGCCTTAAGGGGAGGGACAAGAAGTTTTTCTTCTTCAGAAGAACACACTGACTATCCCTAGACAATTTAACACAATATATTTAAAAAAGAGTAAGACCTCCTCGCAAGAACACTGTTGAGGTTGGTGGTGTTAATGAATGACAGATATATCCTTGAATAAATCAAAAGTTACACACATATATACAGTATATATATATATATATATATAATGTACTACTAATTTTCTGGCAGACATTTTCCATTAAATTTACAGACATTTCCATTAACTCTAAAACACAATGCAATACAGTGCAAAATTCAAAACACAGGTAAAGCACCTGCAAAAAAAATAAATAAATACAGAAAATTCCCCCATATTAATACACACTGCCCTATATTAAAGACTTTTTTTTTAGAGTAGAAATATATTACTCAGTCTAATATTTCTAATATTTTCTGTAGCATTACGTATTTTCGGCTTAAGACATTAAAATGTTTAGCCAACTTTAGCACAAGATATTTTTCTATTTTTTCTGATATAATATATTAATGCTTCAGCAGTGAAGAATTTCAAGGTGACAGTTCTACGTTTATTTTATTGTTCACTCTAAATAATTACATCTAATTTAAAAAGAAGTTTGATAAATTAATACAAATTACAAAGTTTAAAATAAAATTTTATAATAAAATAAAATGTATAAAATTATAATAAAACAAAAAAATTTAAATATGCATTTTCGGTGCTTATTAGAGAATCTAGTCTTCGATCCATTCACATGAGGAGCACAATTTGAGTCATGCGAGTGAGTTGATGCCCAGGATAATCTTCAAATCAGACATTTTGGTTCAGATAGTGCATTTAGTCGCTGCCCGAGCAAACAGAAGACTTAGCTCAGAGGATTTTGGAACAGAGCTCAAGTCTCCACTCCAGAGCTTGTTAGTAGTCCAGGAGGGAAATACATCATGTTTTAACTATAATAAATTTGATCCCATTTCTAAACAGAAAAAATATAGAGAAATAATAAATGCGCCTTGAGGGTCTTTAAGCATTTAACCGAGATGTTATCTATTTCTTGTTGTTCTCCATGATTTCCATGGGGCTTTGAAAGTTCACTAAATTCTTCTCTTCATTGTTCTAGTGTTGCTGTTTTTTCATTGCCCAGTCTTTCTGCTGTCAATAAGCTGGCACTGAAAAAGACAACGAGGACTATTCTTTATATTCGCTATGACCAGCCAAATGATGATCTCTGAGTTAAGATGTCATTCACCCCAAGTAGAAAGTTCAGGATTAGCCTTAACATGCCTGTGTAGTTTCTGGGAAGAAACTCTCTGCTGTCTTCCAACAGCTTATTCTGTGATGTAAAAGGTAAAAAGTGTGGTTGGACAGCATGCCAGACAAAACACACGATTAATTCCTACACAAAGAATGTCTTTCTATGCAAAGTAGAAAATAAATTTAAAAAATAATTAATTAATTAATCAAACCACAAGCAAACAGAAAGTCTCGTCTTAAAAGTGTTTTTCTTTACATTTAGACTGTAAGAGTCCTTTAGTTTAATACTGGAAAATCTAAATCATCAGATAGAGAAGCATGACCTAACAAACAGGTGTTAAACTGCCGTTTTTCTGAAGTCTATCCAAGTGTTCAGAATAATGAAGTTAAAAAGGTGAACATGTTGAAAGCACAGAATTAGAAACATTGATTCATTACACCTGGAATCAATGACGAGTCCTGGTTACAGGGTTTCTGCAGGTTTTATGATGGTAAATGCTTATAAACGTTTTGTACAGTCACAGTCCTATTCAAGAAGAGGTCACTTTTACTTTCAATTTGAAATTTAACTTTATTTAAGTTGTTTTAATTTGGAGAGAGGAGAAATGTGATACAGCTTCTTCTGTGCATGTATTGACAACTATACTTTTCTGTGTTTTACAGTAGTCTAAATGCTCTTAAATCACTCTGCCTTTACACGCATGCATAGAGACAGCATAATAGTGGCATATATCACATCGTAAATGGTGCATAGAAGTATCTCAGTTTACTATATTGTAGAACAGATAAAGTGATTTATACTTGTACTGTACAAATAGATTTAACTCTTAATAAGAGAGTGAACAAGTTTTAAGCTTCTATTTCAATGATCAAATTCAACACAATCTGTGTAATCCCAATGTAGAATAGAAAATGCAACTGAATGTATACCATTTATCTAAAACCACAACTTCCGTTCTTAACAGCATCATCATCATCATTACGAATATGACAGTTTCTTATCTTAATGTCAATATGAAACCATGTTCGCAACCCAGTTTACTTCTGTATTGTGAGATATGAGTTTCTGAACAAAATATTCAAAAAGAAAAAAAGTGGGTAGGAAATTTATCAGACTGTGATATGAATTTTTGGAATAACATGAACCAATTAATTGTTTATTAATTGCTTAATTAACTTAAGCAATTAAATTAATTGCTTAACTGCTTTATAAGAGGAATGTGTTTAACAAAACATATAGGATTAATTTTTCGATTGCAGTATCAAATTATTAAATTAAAAACACACACTCCATAAGCTCCATCTACAGCTCCTCTCTTGTCTTTGTGAGTGAGTGCGCTCTCCTCTGGTTGGGCTCTGTAAGCCAGTGCTGGTAGACGGCCACAGGGTTGATTTTCCAGTGTTTGTGGAAGGAGATTGGGCTTTGTCGTGCCAGAAGCTCTTTTACATAATCTTGTGGACGAGCCTTTGTTCAGAAAGGAGACCATGTGATTACACCAGCGGTTTCACACAGCTCATATATTAAGACACTTGTCCTAATTGTGACCATATAATTTCCCAAATGTTATTCTGAACAATTTATAAAAATGATGTACATTTAAACTTTTTATGTCCTTTCCTGCCATTACTAATTCTCTTTTGAATTTAAATTTCAACAACTTCTATGCCTTTTAAAGGTGTATTTCACCCAGAAACTAACATTGTCAATTTATTTACCCTCATATTGTTTGAAACCCATATTACTTCTTTCTTCTGTGGAAAAAAGGGAGTAGCTAGCAGAAAAATATGTAAGCTGCTTTTTACACAAAAAGAAAGTGAATGGTGGTCACACTACCGATCAAAGGTATAGGGTCAGTAAGGTTACTGTTTTTGAAGGAAATTAATACTTTTAATCAGCAAGTATGCATTAAATTTGTCAAAAGTGACAGTAAAGACATTTCTACCATGACAACTCTCTGAAGATTTTAGCATGGTAATGGATATGACAATGTTAATATATTTGGTCTTGGCGGAATAGATCTGCTATGCTCCAGAATTGCTGCTGCTGTTGGTTATTGCTGTTGTTGTAGATTATTGCTGCTGCTTCAAAGCAAGTACAGGAACTTGTTACTGCCAATACATACGAGCATGTATTAATTTAAGACATACTTCTGCTTCACAAATAGCGCATATAAATAATCCATAGCAGATCTATACAGGTGGAGCTGGGGAAGGTGGAGGGTTTCAGAGGAACTCTGAAAGCGCCCTGCGAAATGCTCTAGTGAATGCTAACCAGCCATTTAAATGTAAAGCAGCAAGCTCATTGGCTGCGTATGCAACATGAACCAATCAGCTTGTGCCAAGTAGTTTAATGCTGTGAATATCATCAGTTTGCGTTAACGTCCCATCAGCCTGCACCTGCACCAAGTTTTGTTTTATGACAGAACTTGGCATTTATAATGTTACAAAAAAAATCTATTTCAAATAAATGCTGTTCTTTTGAACTTTCTATTCGTCAAAGGATCTTGAAAAAAAAAAAGTGTCACAGAAGGCACAACTATTTTCAGGTTTGATAATAAAATGTTTTTTTGAGCACCAAATCGGCATTTTAGAAGAATTTCTGTAGAATCATGTGACACTGAGGACAGGAGTAAAGACATTTGAAAATTCAGATTTGTCATCACAAGAATAAATTACATTTTAAAGCATATTAAAGCAAAACAGTTAATTTAAATGAATATAATACTTCTCAATATAACCGTTTTACTGTATTTTTGATCAAATAAACGCAGCCTTGGCAAGCATAAGAAATTTCTTTCAAAAACATCTTACCAACCCCAAATTTTTGAAAGGTAATGTATGTCTGTCAAGCTTTTCAATGAATAACTACATTTCTCATATAAGCATCTATCTTTAATAGATCCTTAAATTTACAATCAAATCCATGAAATTTAGGATCAAATAGGAAATTCATTTTATAAATGAGGTTCTGGGTCTTGGGAATGCAAACCAAAAGATAAATGAATCTGTCTTCCTGTACCTTCAATTCTGCTGTGAAATAAACTCAAGACTGCTCTTCACATTTGTACCCACATTTCAGCTTATTTGCTGCTCTGCACAAATTTACTTGTGTTTTTGCTGCTGTAGAGCAGCACAGATAAAGACAACATGTGAGTTGTCGGTGTGCGGGTGTGTATGCTACCTGATGGAAAAGTGGGCTGTGTGTGACCGGGAGCCCCAGTGTGGTCAGACACATCCCTAGCACCATGTCATCGGGGGCATCCGAACTGCGGCAGCCGCAGCCACCTGCCAAAATATTCTGCACCGCTACTCTACTGAACACCATCCTGTAAGAATGTAGAAAGAATGAAATAGTTCTTGAAATGAAATGTTCATCATTTGGTTCACACAGAGAATTAAGATACTGAATACTACAACAATTCAGGACAAATAACAATGTGACAAGGTTACATGTCCAGAATCAAGTGGGAATGAGTCACACTCACCTGTGTGACAGTCACCAGACACCATTGTGTCTTTAACAAAGTACCTACATTGTAATGGGAAGTCACTGTCTGCTAATTAGTATGCTACAAGTAAACAGAAAACTAAGCAGTTTCTAAGCAGCATACTGTTGGGACACAAAGATTGCAACATTAAACAAATCAGTTCAAAACTCAATCATACCACTCTTAAACCAACATCATCTCAATAACATTTTCTTAAGGGGTGTTTGCTTAAGTTGCTGTAAAAATTGTAGGTCAACTGGTTTCCAAGGGGAAATTATGTGGTTGCAAAGGGGTTTTGAGTGTTTAGTATGTTGCTGAGTGGCTTCTAAAGTGTACTGGGTGGTTGCCATGGCATTACTAGAAGGTTGCTAAAGGCTTCGAAGCTGTTTTAATTGCATTGCTAAGGTGTTCTGGGTGGTAGAATCGTTTTGCAACTGAATCATTACTCCCTAAATCGCAATCATAATCGAATCAAATCGAATCGTGAGGCAAATAAAGATTCACGCCTCTATTAGGCAAGCTGGTAGTTCGTGGGGGATTCTGAGTGGCTTTTAGTATGTTTCTAGGGTGTTCTAGGTTGTTTCTGATGCATTACTATGAGGTTGCTATAGGGTTCTAAATGGCTTCTAGGGTGTTCTGGGTGGTTGCCATGGCGTTAAAGTGCAGTTGCTAAAGGGTTCTGTTTTGTAAACCTGTGTGGTAAACCCGCACCCGCAGTACTTAACAGAACACCCAACCTGTTATCCAACAGCAGCACTAATTAAATTTTGTACCCGCCCCACTCGCTTAACATAAAGACCGCGACCTGATCCGCACCCAAATTAAATCTACTACTTCCCTTGATCAGGCAGACAAAAATAATTTACTTGTAACATGTAACACAAGCAATCAAACCAATTTTAGGCAGAGTTGATGCATTTAAGAAAAAAATAGACACACAGCCCAACATGGTAATAATTTACAGAAAAAAAGATGAGAACATGCATCCATTAAGTACAATACAAAATTTTTGCCTACATCATGTGAACAATCTACCCATACAGGGTATTTTGAACAAATGTGCATAAATCACACCACAGGCTATACAGATGTTTAGATCTCTCCATAAATTAAAAGAACATAACCAAATTTAAGCTTTTTTCGGATTCACTCTGCATTAAAATTTGGTTGTCTCTCCTGAAATTCTGCAGTGTATAGTGTATTCATGGCCGTTGGTCCTCTTAGCAGCATGAAAAATTTAACTTTTATTCAAATTGTGAATAGATTATATACAGTGCCGCTTGAAAGTTTGTGAACCCTTTAGAATTGTTTATATTTTCTGCATAAATATGACCCAAAACATAATCAGACTTTCGCACAAGTCCTGAAAGTAGACAAAGAGAATCCAATCAAACAAGTGAGACAAAAATATGTTCTTTGTCATTTATTTATTCAGGAAAATGATACAATATTACACATCTGTGAGTGGCAAAAGTATGTGAACCTCTAGGATTGGCAGTTAATTTGAAGGTGAAATTAGAGTCCATCTGTTTTTCAGAGATGTTTTCAATCGGTGAAATTACTATCACTAACTGTGATACCCGTTTTATTTAAAGAACATGGATCTATCAAAGTCTGATCATGTTTGTGGAAGTGTATCATGGCATGAACAAAGGAGATCTCAGAGGACCTCGGAAAAAGAGTTGCTGTTGCTCATCAGGCTAGAAAAGGTTACAAAAACATATCTAAAGAGTTTTGACTCCGCAAATCCACAGTCAGACAGAGTGTGTACAAATGGAGGAAATTCAAGACCACTGTTACCCTCCCGAGGAGTGATTGACCAACAAAGATCACTCCAAAAGCAAGACGTGTAATAGTCTGCAAGGTTGCAAAGGAACCCAGGGTAACTTCTAAGCAACTAAAGGCCTTTCTCACATTGGCTAATGTTAATGTTCATGAGTCCACCATCAGGA